TTGTTTCCTATTAAGGGGTAATTTGTATAATACTTTTCATACTTCCTCGGTCTCAAATTATCTGTGGTGTTTTTCTTTTGCATGCCCCGTTAAAAAACATTAATTAAGAAGGGTTTTTTTTTTTAATATTTTACCCACATTTATGTCTTAAGATATATTCTCTCTTAATTTATAAAATATTTATTCGGGTGTTTATAGTCTTCAAGAGACCAATAATTTATGGGCAAGTTTATTAAATTTTTCATGGTGTTTGTATTTGTTAGAATGATTTATATATATCCTACTTATAAGCCTGTCGAGTGTTTTTCATTTTATTGGATTCATACTTCATTAAACTCTTGAACGAAGAGGGGACATATGCATTGTGCAAGGGATTTGGAACACTGAGAGAAGTGTCGCAATTGTCATTTGTCAGTATTGTTGGCGTATAAATGTTGAGGAGGTTCTGCGTATGGGTAGAACGATCAGGCAAGACGAGATCCCAGTGGAGTTTTGGAAGAGCACAAGCATGGTGTAGCTGTCTAAGTTGTTTTCAAGACGGCGAGGATGCCCCAAGTATGAAGATGGAGTACAATGATTATTTTGTACAAGAACCAAGGTGACATATAGAATTTTGACAACTATAGGGGCATCAAGCTGTTAAACCACACTATGAAGGTGTGGAAGAGGGTGGTGGAGATGAGGGTGAGGAAGGGTGTGGCTATTTCTGAGAACCAGTTAGGATTCATGCCGGGGAGTGCTCAAGATATATTCTTTTGGAAATTGGTTTTGTGCTTCAAGGATATATATATCAATAACTGAGATAATCTGTCAGGAAAGAGTTTGTATAGACAAATTACATAGTTATATATTAGAAAAGTCACATTCCTGAGATGCCTACAGAAGTAATCAACTTGCTCTAGGTATTCTTCTTTTATAATAGCTTACATGTGACCTTAGGAACCAGCACAATGGTTAATGGTTATAGCTGCTTGTTTAAGTTTCTTGATTTCTCTCCTCCTCAATCTTATATAAGATATTTACATGTCTTCCATTGTGGTGTCTAGCTAGGAAGTCCAAATTTTTATTCAACAGATCGAGAGCAAATAGCTTTAAATTGTTCCTATTTTAGCAGGATTTTGAATGAGGGAAAAGCTTAGAAGGATCAATCCTGTCTAACATTGAATTTGGCAAAGCAGTGAAAAAGTTCTCACCATATATATGAGGTGCTCATTTGTTCTCTACTTAATTTCAAAGAAAGTTTACTTGACGATCAAAAGGTTCTTTTTCATCAGCAAAAATGCTACATAGCAGGAGTGCATTGTCTTGGTGCCCTTACTACTTACTAGTAGTTAGAGTGTTATGCTTGTAGTTTCTTGTTCTTTGATTTTTTATTGATATTTGTTGTTTCGTGTAGTTCTGTGGTAGTATTATTTGGTTGTAGTACTATTATGCTACTTTTTGTTGTTTTATTTACTACTCGTTGTCTCTTGTACTTCCATTACATGTTTTTGTTTGGAGACAAGGGTCTACATCTATCGGAAACAACCTCTCTACCTCACCTCTGAGGTAGAAGTAAGGTATGCATATACTCTACCTTCCCTGGACCCCACTCTGTGGAAGTACACTGGGTATGTTGTTGTTATTTATAGCAGTAGTTTGAAATAGTGAACACATTTGCCTAACCTTAGATATCACAATATTGGATCAGTGCCAGCAGGGGACGGGCCATCACCACCTTTAGAAGTTGGAATCCTACTGTTGTTGCATAGAGCATATATAATGGATATATAGAATTTGGCAGTGATTTGTAGTTATCCTCTATTGAATAACACCTTTTAATTCTTAATTTCTGTATTAAAAGGCACTCAATATTCAAGCAAGTGTTGTAGTATGTGGCGAGATGCCTGGAACCAAAGTTAATGGCTTTCATTTCTTCCTTGCTTGGGTTTGCTACTTGCATCGCAATGGAAGAATCCTCGAAGCAAATAGATTGTTGTTGCAGCCATGCCATTGTTATGAATGGTCTCAGTTTCACCATTCAACCTAGCATTTACATCAAGCTTTTTTAAAGAGTCTAGAGCCAAAAGGGCAAAAAAAATGTCAAAAGGGCAAAATTGCTCCTGAGTTCTGACAAAATTGACGCTGTTACTTCGCATAAAATCGCTGCCCAGCAGCGATTTCGTCAAAAAAAAAAAATCTTTATTCTTTAAAATCGCTGCTGTGGCAGCGATTTTGTCAAAAAAATTATTATTTTTAATTGTAATAGCTGCTATAGCAGTAATTTTCTTTAAAAAGATTTAAAAAAAAATTAATTAAATAATCTGCCGGACAGCGATTTCATTAAATTCCAAAATCAATAGAAAAATATTTTAAAAAATTAAGTCGAAACCAAGCATGTGCAATCACTATTAATCATTTAAGCAAATGGCAGTACAAAACACTTCAAGGCAGCAATATATTTAAAATGCAAAAATTGAATGAAATCGCTGCCTTGCAAGAGATTTAAAAAAAAAAGAAACTAACTTTTTTAAGAAAATTGCTATAGCAGTGATTTCAATTTTGAAAAGTTATTTTTTTAGAAAAACGCTGCAGGAGCAGCGATGTTAAAAAAATGACAGAATCACTGCCGGGGAAGCGATTTTTATGTTTTTAACGAAGTAACGGCGTCAATTTTGTCAGAAGGAAATCGCTCCGTCAAAAGCGATTTTGCCCTTTTGGTTAAAAAAAAATTGATGTGCCCTTTTGAAATTGTTGGCAATTTTTAAAGCTTCTTTTACTTTTATATTTATCAAATCTATTTTGAAAAATATTTATTTTGATTCATTGGAAAATTATACAAAACCAAACCACCCATACAAGGACCAAGTAATCCATTATAGAAAAAAAATATTTAGCATATTTTTCATGAGAACAGTGACACCAACTGAAATTCCAAAGAGGAGGATCAAAAGCCCAATGAAATTAACTATACAGGTCCTTCTCATATTTAGCATTTGTGACAAAACTCTGCCTTTTCAGATGACGATGAAATATATCATCAATCTAAGAAAAACATAGATTTTCAATCAAAGGAAATACATAGATACATCCAAAAGCAATATATATGGAAGAAGCTTGTTAGTCGTATCTGATAGAATTGATGCAGACATGGATCAGGAGAATTTCAGACAAACTAATTTTAACTTGGGAAGGCAGTAGTTGTGCCATCAAAAGATGCCGCTCATCCTAATACCTAGTATATGGAACTCTATAAACTGGTAGAACCTAAAAGATTGAGAGGGACCTGTAATGAGCAAAGGTTGTTTCAAGTATCCTCTCATTCCAAATAAGTAATCTCCTGTTCAACCTGTCTCTATTCAGATGATTGAGATACCAAAACTCGACTTCTTCTAGCAGAAGCAAAATGCTCCACATTTTATTGCTATTGTTACCGTTCATCAGCAACTCCCGACAATAGTTTCTCACAGACTCCCTCTTTTGTCTTCTATGATGATGGGATTGGCTCTCAGTGGAAGTCTGGTTGAATTTCACGTTAACAATCTTGCTCTGGAGCTGACCTCAAAAGAATGATAACATGAGAAGTTTCAGCAGTGACTTGGAGGGACTTTGGCATTTTGCTGTTTCCGTACATGTATTTCTAAGTTGAAGAAGCAATCATAATTCAGTTTTTTTTCCCTAAACAACAACAACCACAAGATTAACCCGGTGTGATAAAAAATGAGGAATGGATTCCATCACATGGGCAAGGGACAAATGTGAGTAAAGAATTAAGTTCTACCACATTGGCACCTGGTGTGGTGCAAGATAGGAAAATGTTCTTGCATCTTAATGGATGGAATAAGGGTAAAGAACCTAGTCCAAGAGAGTCAGACTGAATAGACAGTTTGAACATAAGCTCGTCGATAGGGAATTCAATAGAATTAATGGATGCTTTGGAAAGAGGAGAGCTAATATTGCTGCCTACAGAAAAATAGTTGGACAGTAGAAAAAGATAGATATATTGGCAACACAAGTTATAAAATATTGTATTATGGATAGATAAGGATAGGAACAGAGTAGGAAGCACTGTAGAACCATGACATAGGACAAAGTTGTAGAAGTAAAGTTTATTGGCGATAAAATTATCTCGTCAAGACTAGTGTAGGAAAGGAGACAACCAGTATCATCAGTGCCTGTAATTGGATGTAGCTGGACGACCAAGCATGTTGGAACAGGATTGTTTAAAGCCTTGAAAGTAGTGGATTACCTTGATGCGCAAACAATTGGATGGATTCTAGAGTAGTTCACAACTGTTTTGTTTTGTTTTTCACTGAATAGTTCACAACTGTTGATATAATGCCGGAATATGGATAAGCACCAAAGCCAACTAGATGCAACATCAAAATCCTCAGAATTTCTGACAGATTCACGATGTGACAACTAATTAGAATGTCTGTTACTAATGGTCTTCATAAGGGCAGGTGCTCTTCATCAATAAGTTAACTTGTTGAGGAAGAAGATGAATGAAAGAAAGAAAGAAGGAGATAGAGAGACAAATCTTGTGTAGCTCAAAGCAAAAGGGCCGCTTAGAAAAAGCAGAACCCCAGATTAGCATAAGAGTAATTCAACCAAATAGGTTTACCTCAACGAACAACTTTACAGTGATAACAAGATGATCATCAAAATATGAAAGAGATAAAATTTATTGCAGCAGATATTTCCACAATAAACACTGCAACGATTTATCAAAACTCTAGATGAGACGGTCAATGGAATGAGCAAGACCACTACCTATGTTGACTAGAAACTATTAACAGGGCATTCTTGTTCCAGAGAAGCCATGTTTAACAACCATACTTGATATGAAATGAGGAAGCAAACCCCATTTAATGAGAAGCGACTGAAATTGCAACTTTTGCAGTTAAACATCCAACTCATTTTGCCTAGTATCTGAAATGAACAAATGCACCTGTACAGCTAAAAGAAAAGTGATATAATCATTGAAAGTAATGAACACAGTTGGCCGCTGAAGTATATGTTTCCTGTATGCTTACCTTAAGCCGCAAGTTCTGATGTTTGGAGGTGGTGTTCTTCAATCAGATTTTGAACCCTCTGTATAAATTCTCATACATTACTAGATAGCAGAAGATATACTCAAAGTTGATTTAGGGAAAGTCATTTTTTTTACCTTCACGGAACTTCCAACTTCTTCCAGCTTCTGTAATACTGCAGCATCTCCAGAATGAGATAATGAATCATGCTTGATGGATCTCGATGGCGACATCTGCCAATCACAAAATTAGTAGATAGAAGCTGACACTTAAGGGAAGGAGTCTTTGCTGACAATGATGATATTTTCTATTGAAAATGCATAAAAGAAACCAAGGAATATCACGAATACAGAAATCTTGATCTAGTGACAACATACCGAAGTAGTACAGGAATGACTAATTTGCAAATTCGAAGTATCATCAACAGCTGAAGCTTGTCTAGAGAATGCTTTACTTCTAAGATTTGATAGTTGCATCAGAACAGCCTAGAGAATGTACATAGATTCACAAGTCAACACATCTTAGATTCATGGCATGATATTTAAACATATAGTAAGATTACTTAAAGAGGAATTATTAGTATCTCTCTAAGAGAAATAATCTTAACAATATTACTTAAAGAGGAATTATTAGTATCTCTCTAAGAGAAAATAATCTTAACAATAAGTTATAACTAGAGGTAAAACCTACCTTCCTGAAATCAAGAGCATCCGCAATTCCTTGGACTTGGAGATCATCACTCGGAGATCTTCTCACACCAACATTTTCAATTCTTATCGAATAGACCCCACACAGGGACTGTAGGTAACCTGACAATTACATCAGTTCAGAAGTCTCAAATGTCGAGATTGTACCAAGCCTAACAACTGAAAGGAATCATAGAAGTAGACTTCTGAGTGTCCATTCTCTGGCTTTGCAAACTTTTGATATAGTAATCCACAGGAAGTCATCTAAAAAGTATTGCCTCTGAGCAGTGGAGTTTTCCATGCACCCGATGAAGTGTTGGTTGACCAAATCATGTCAAAAGATTATTGTGAAACTTAAACCAAAATAGGACCTGACATGCCCTTCTTGTTTGTACTCGTTTTCCATTCTTTCTTTTTTCTCGAAAAGAGAAGCATCCCATTTGGTCAGATACTTGTACTTCTGATCCTAAGTTTCTTATCACCCCCATAAGAGATTTAGCAAAATATTGTAAATTCAATTCTAAACAATATTGAATGTCACAACTTAAAGAATGTCGTAAGGGTTCTTCTTTTTGCAGTTCTTTCAGGTACCACATTGTAGGTGGAGACAAAAACTCCAGCCAGTTAAAATATGCACTGGCACTGGCAGGATTAAAATTCCCTTGTAACATCTAATCACTAGATTAACATCCAGGAGCATTTAAAATGCCACGTCGTACTACCTACTATGATTTTTTTATGAGAGTCATATGCATTTGGGATAATTCATGTGGCAAGGAACTAAAATGAACTTCAATGAACCCATGAAAAGAGACCCTGATGTGTTTTTCCTCTCCTTTTTTTTTTTTTTTTTTTTGATGACAAGGGAAACCCGCAGCCGCTACCCTTTGGGTGAGCACAGGGTAAAGCTCCCGCTCCTATGCAATAGCTCGCAAACCACACAGGAGAGATAACCCGCACTAGGCAAGCCTGGTGCGACGAGCTCGACCCAGAAGGCAAACCCCTTGCTTTCGCAAGCAAGGGGTTTCCTCTCCTTTTTCATGCACGAGTAACTCGCAAAATACTATTGGGCTAGACATACCAGTTATCAATAAAATGTAAACATTATATCCAAGTTCATTGACATCATCTCAACTAGAAAAGTTAAAAAAAAAAAGATGTCAACTTGGCAACTGACCACATATCCCAACAGCAAAAAGAAGATAGTAGAAAATCACATTTACCTTGTTCAACTACAATATCAGCAACTGATGGCAATAGAACATACTTCTCCTTCTTCAAATCCCCAAAACATGGAAATGGAACTGGTCTTGTTACCTAGACCATAAAATCAAACTCTAAGAAAAGGCTTGACAACATGTTCAGAAAATCTTTACCTGCAATTCAAGTAAAGGTCACATTTGCAACATACATACTCTGTCCGTTTCATTTTACTTATCCATTTTAACAAATCAACAGAGTTTTATCACTTTTTATTTACATACTACCCTCAGTATTAAATAACTACATAAACTAGTTACATTCAGAGTTCCTAATAAGATTAGTTTAGTAAAATACACGGAGATCACATAAAGTTTGTGAAAAAAGAAGTAATACTCTACTTTGTAAACAATGGCGTTGGGAGTGAGATAAAGTTTCCTGGAGCGGATGTCTTTGCGTAAAATATACCTCCGAATGGGTAAATAAATCAACATGATTAGCCCTATTCCCCAAGCCAATAATAGCAACAGTGAATACAATACCCATCGAACTGTTTGATACTTGACGAAATTCTCTTCAAACGACGCCGTATAGATAACTGGTTCTTCTTCAGATTCTTCATGTTCGACCAACAAACCCCTCTCTAACCGGTCAATTTCTCCATCATTCGATTCCATATCTGAGGATTCAATTCAACGGAACAAATAAAAACAGAATGATAAATATTGGTAGACATGAAAAAGAAGCGAATTCGAATAGAATTACCGGCAACTGATGATCGATGGAACGAGTTCCTATTTCCTAATTACAAATTTATATTCTCTTATGTGTCTTAATTGATTTATTAGAATTGATTTTTAAGAATAGATACTGTTAAATTGATATTTAAACCTCACTAATTTAATACTTGGTAAATTAATAATTATAATTTATTTTTTTCGGTCCCAATTTGGGCCAATGGAAAAAATCGTCCATTTCGATAAGACTATATATTTTCAAAAAACTATTATATAAATATATGGTCCCAACAATATTATAAATTAATAATTTTTAAAAAGTATAAATATATCTAAGACAATTTAGTGAAATGTATCTAACTTTTCTTATTACATCAAAAAGTTATGGTGTTGTCTTTTAGAACTTCACCCTAAAATTGTGAAAAGTTGTAGATGTGATAAGTGTTTTCTTACGCGTAACTGATTGCAGATGTATTGTATCATCTTTAAATTCATCATCAACATTATTTTTTTCGATGGTATCTACATTTTTTTCTAAATAATGGACATCTCAACATATATTACTTTATGGATAATCTAAAAAGTTATTGACATCAAAAAAAAATTCGGTAATCGGGAATATTTATCATGGCCTCAAGTTCAAAAATGACGTTGTCACAAAACACTCTTTAAATTAATAAATATTAATTTATCAATTAAATAATACATCAACAAAATAATAATATTTCATGATCCACCTATATTAATTTAGTGAAGTTTTTCCGTAGTCAAATAAGAAAAAGAGATTATGACCCATAAAATGAACCCACACAACTCGTTCAAAACCTTCCAAACACAAATTAATAGTACAAATTGATCATAACATTTCAGACCTATTGGGATCGTCAAATTATCAAAGATGGGTCATCTTGACCGAGTGTTGACCAAGGCCAACTTGAGTCTACTATTTAAAATAAATATATGACCTCTAATTTGAAACTTCTTTGGATCAATTGTTCATATCAATTTTTTAATTTTATTTGTACATTTTATACGTTTCTAGCTCGCTCTTCAAAGAATACACATGTGTTAAACTAATATATATTTAATGAGCAAATCACACAAATGATTATTTATATAGATTCAAAATAATTCCTTCAATATGCATTGAATACTTTTTAGTTTTTATCCTTTAAATTTGTCAAAAGTATAATCATAAATATATAAAAAAATTACTAAATCATAAAATATGTAACATATAAATGTACCACAAAAAATGCAATGCATAAAAAGTTGCATTAATTGGATTACAAAAAATTATACAAACTCAAAGAATAAATCCAAAATAACATAAATTATAAAAATATACCCCTATATGTAAGCTCTCACTTTTTTTTTTTTTTCTCATAGTCCCCATTCCGGGATTATGTTTAATTCATACTCAAACTGAGGGACTATTTTTGCGAATTTGACAGTTCCTTTTTCAGTTGAATACTAAAACCCTACTCCCAATTGACAGCCATTGTGAAGTTGAAGGGAAGAAACAATGGAGCTAAACCTTAACAAGAAGAAAAAGCAAAAGACTGAGAACAGCTCAACCGGCAACTCTGAGGTTTTCGCTTCTTGCTCTTTCGAAAGTCTCGGTCTTCACACTACCTTATGCGAACAGCTCAAAGGTTTTCTCTTACACAACCTGCAATTTTTCTAATAATTTCATGTCAAGTTTGAGAAGAAAAGATCTTAACTAGTTTAGGATTTAATTTTAATGTAAATTTGATAACAGAGAGGCTTGGATTCGAGGCTCCAACTCTTGTTCAGGCTCAAGCAATTCCTGTTATACTCTCTGGTCGACATGTGTAATTTCTCTACCCTTTGATGATATGTATTTATGTTCGATTTCAAGTTTTGTGTTTGTTAATATCTGAATTGATTTTTTGGATTATTGATAATGAATGGTGATAGGCTAGTGAATGCGGCTACCGGAACGGGGAAAACTGTGGCTTATTTGGCTCCAGTTATTCATCAGTTGCAGAAGTGTGATCCCAGGATTCAGCGGTCTGATGGTACTTTTGGTACGTGACATATTTGCTTGCTATCCGTTTCCTTAGATTTTTTATGTTTCAGAATCCCTGTTGAGGAAAGGCTTCTATCTAATAATGTACTCTCCATGGTTGTTACCTGAAGTATAATCATCTCGTGGTATTTTTCTATAACTGAAAGTGTTCCCGACAAGTCACCGGAGATATAATTCCAATTATGAGGTTAAAAAGACAAATAAAAACTAGTTCTTTATCGAATTTGAAAATGAAAATATGGTTGTCAATTGTCATTATTAGAATAGTTGTGATGGTATTTAGGCTAAAGGAAGTGTTTGTCTTGATAATAGGTGTAAGAAAATCAGCTACTTAGGTTTTATTTCTCTTGGGTGATTTAATTCGGGTAACTGATATATTTGGGATAGCGTTGGTTCTTGTGCCAACGCATGAATTATGCATGCAGGTGTATGAGATCTTGCAAAAGTTGTTGCATCGTTTTCACTGGATTGTTCCTGGATATATTATGGGAGGGGAAAGCAGGAACAAAGAGAAAGCTAGATTGCGAAAAGGTAGGTGCATGTTGTTCCCTTTTATTTCTTGTCCTTGTAAATGAAAGTAGGTTCTGTTTTTCTACTGAATGTCTCCTTGTCTGTTGCTAACTTGCTAGTGCTAGGGCACTACAGCTTTTCAACCTCCTGTTGGTCCCTTCATTCCCTCAGCCTTACACGAACTTATAAGAGAACATAAGGTGGATTAGTGGTGTATATTTTCAGAAGGGATTTTATTTGCCTTAGCTTTTGAACAGCTAACAACTAAGCCACTAAATAATACAACTAATAGAATAAAGTTGGTCACTTTGTCCAAATTAGATTCTATACATATGTTAGATTTGGTAATGGTGGGTTTCTCCACATTTTCAATGCTTTGTATAGCGTTGGCAGTACATTGCATTCTTACCTCTGCTCTTGAGATGCTAAATGCTGGTTGTTTTGGTTCATCGGAGTTACTTTTATAACTTAAAAGGCAGATTGCTTGCTATAGTAGCAAGCTATTTTATGTTGCGTATGTTCTAGCCATTTTCTAAATATGCTGAAAATGGTGCTAAGATTTCCTTTTTGATCAGCGCCAGATTGCACACCTTTTATTCTTTTTGAGATGTATATTTTTGCATATCAATTGCATAAGGATTTCAGATGGATTTACAATGGTCCTAAACTGCTTTAGTCATCTCTTTTAAGTTTTAGGTTGGATATTTAAATTCTTTCATATGGTACTTGGTTGTGCCAAATTTTACAATTCTATTTTCTCACTTGTAAATCTAGTGAGCTACTCTCTTGGATCTAGGGCCACCCTTCATCCTATGAGTTACTTCCTCTGCTCCGAGCCAAATGCTATCTACTCTTGCTGCTCTATGCACTCTACATCAAATACTTAGCCTGTCGAGCCACTATGTTTCTTCCACCTCACATTTTAGCTTGTTAGCTGCTTTAGGCACCTCAAAAACTAATTGAGTATACAAAAGATGGGATGGAAAATAGAAAAAGTTTCAGCTCACTTGTAAACCGTAGGTTAGGACCTTAGGTTGCGTGTAAAGGCACTCACGGATGTTAGATATATGCAATGTACTACAATTGTTTAGGAATTTTGAAGTTGGTTATAATGGTTCAAGCATGACATTCAGTTTTGGATTGAACATTCAGAAGCACCGCATGGTTCTCTCTTCTCCTTACTATGCTCTCCCGTCTTCCTTTCTATCATGGTTTTATGGTAGCTTTCTTTGTTGTTTCGAACGGGTCTTGTTCAGAACTAATTGCGTGTATTTCACTCTAAAACTGATATTTTGGAAGCACAAGTGGCTTGATGAATGTGACTTCAATGCATTTGATGCCTCTCAGGAATTTTTTTAGCAAATAAACCATAGGGGAGATGGAATTTGCTGGTGTACAGACTATGACTCATGAAGGTCAAAGATGTGAAAAACATGTCCTTTATTTCCTTACCCCTAAATCTTTAACAAAAGGAATGGGAATGGTGGATGACTAGTCATTATTAGCACCCCCACAAAGCTTCTGATTCCAGAAATTCCAGTGCTACTGCACTCAGAAGCTTCACTCGGGATTGTATCATGTATAGTCTCCAGGTTAATTTGGACAAGAGTGGAATAGTCCAAGTCCATTATAAATCCTTTTGAAAACAGTTTACAAGGTATTTGGGGCATCATGTATCTCAAGCATTCCTTTTTGCGAACTGGTGGTTTTAATTATCTGACCCTCATATATAGATGTATTTTCTCTATCCTATTTCTTTTACTTTTGTTCCATACATCCTATGCTATTCTCTTTTGCTTTTGTGGATCGAACAGTCTCATTCATCTCCTTCCTCATGCAAGTCACTTGAGCTTTTCTGTTGTGTGCCTTTGGTGGTCTTGCTGTATGGTGTTTAATATTGATCAAAGTTGTCTGTCTTAATACTCCTGGAGAGTTTTCCTCTTCTGTGTTTGGAAGCATTTCAAAAGCCTCATCATAGTGCTCATTCTAGGTATATCTATTCTTGTTGCAACTCCGGGACGTCTTTTGGATCACCTAAAAAACACATCATCATTCTCGTACACAAACCTGCGCTGGATAATTTTTGATGAAGCAGACAGGTATATTTATATTTTATCTCTCAATGGACATGCTCTTTGACTAAATTCATGTCTTAAACCCTCAATTTGCATATATGCTTTATAGAATTCTGGAGCTTGGATATGGTAAAGAGATTGAAGACATACTTAATATTCTGGGCTCAAAACAACAAAAATCTGTTGGCAAGGGTAACACAACTTCACAGATTTCTGAGGTTCAGAGGCAAAATGTGTTGTTATCTGCTACATTAAATGAGAAAGTAAATCATCTCGCGGAAATTAGTTTAGATAACCCAGTGATGGTTGGGCTTGA